TTATTCAAATAAAATACTAACTCAGTTAACAGTTAAAAAGTTAAAAAAAGAGTTAGAAGTTAATTACGAAAAACTTAATTATCTAAAACTATATATGTATTTTTTTTATTTCATAATTAGTCTTTAAATTTAGCTTAAATTTATGTGAAGTAATGAAAGTACATTAAGCAAATTGATCAATCACAGTTAATTATTTTTCGACCGTAAAGAGAATAATTGGTTGTGATTGGTCAATTTCCTTACTGCTTACGTCTTACTGCTTAAATTTTTCTATGTGCCACTAGCTTCATGTCCCGATCTACAATAAGTGTAGTAAGCTTTAAGTAAGTCGTAAGAAATTGACTAATCACAGAACGACTTATAGAAAAATAATCAATTGTAATTCATTAATTTCTTACGGCTTAAAGCTTATTACACATATTATAGATTGAGTATTAAGGGACGTCTACATTGGAAATAAGCAGTAAGAAGTAGGAAGTAAGAATAAGAAATTGACCAATCATAGTTGATTATTCTTCTCACATTCGACTATGGTTGGTCAATTTCTTACTCTTACTTCCTACTTACTTCCAATGTAGACGTCCCTTTATGCGTTGTTTACAATGGTAGGAATAGTAGTAAGAAATAAGCAGTAAGCAAATTGACTCATTCCATTCCCACGATTTAAGAATAATCGATTGTGATTGGTCCATTTGCTTATACTATTTATTTCTTACTGTTACTCCTACTGCCATTGTAGACAACGCATTACAGTGCTGGGGGTCGATTGTGTATTCCGAAACGGAGTGTAAATTACAAAAATGAACAAATTCACTAGGCATTGATCAATGAAGTTACAAATATTCTAATAAATTTGCTTACTTTTGTCATTTTCACTCTATTTTGAGATATACAATCGAAACCTTAGAAGCTTCATTCTTTCATTCTTTGGCACATAATGAACAATAAAGGTAGAATAACACTTATAGTGCTATAAGCGTGCTGTAAGCGTGAATCGGACCACACAGATACAGTCAAATCTTTTATTAAAAATTATTTCAAGTTCATTTTCAGATGCTTCGTAGCCAATGGAACAATCCATTCAGTATCTAAAAATAAATTTGAAACAATCATAAATAAAGATTTGGTTATGAATACTGCTCTTATATACCTGTCTGTTAAAGTGGTCAATGATTTTTACGCAACTTTAATATTGATGAAATAAATTAACGTAACTGAAAAAAGTAAAAAAAGTCAACGTTAATGCGTAAAAATTAACTAAGTTTAAGTTAAAAGTAAACTTATTTAAGCTTAATTAAGTTGAGTTAAAAATTACTAACTTTTTAACTTCTAACTTAACTTTTAACTTTTTTAAAAGTTACTACTCAACTCTGAATACTGTATCAACATTACATTCTAGAAGCTACTATTTATGTTGCTGAAGATGGCAGCGATGTTTATCATGACTTAGAGACATTATAACAGAGAAATGAACTGCAGTGGCACCTCAGTCCAGAGTGCATTGTTACATGATTGTGTATCATAATGTACAAATTTTCCTTAATTAATATCTAAAAATCTATGTGGTCATTTGCAAAATGGTAGAACTTTTTTGTTTAGATTGACTTAATGTATAAGTTCACGATGGCAGACGGCGCCACTATAGCTCATCTACTATATCGCACGTAATTATTCACCAAACTTTTTAATTAATATTGATGAGATTTATTGCGAATATCGCAAAATGGCATGGAACTTTTGTGTTCATCTCAATCCGCTCTACGTCCTCACAAGAGATTGTGAAGGTGATCTAAAACATCCTGTATTATTATGATTATATATATAGCCATATATGGATAAAATCCATATCCTCTTTTTCCCAGGGAGTTACTATCTTAAGTTAATGTTTTAGTAATATTAACGTATTATTCTGCGGTAAAGAAAATAATTATATATGATAAAAAATTTAATTTATTGTAAATATTGCAGTAACATTTTAGTAACAATAATATAGACTTTGATGTTATATGTGAGCCGGACGGTTATCACAAATAATATCTCACTCAGTAGTGACGTTCTGTTCGATTGTAATCATTGCGCTTTTCAACTTTTCCTTTTGTCCAACGCTCAGTTCTTTATATTTTCTTATTATTCTTTTTTCCATACTTTCTACAGGGATTTACTACAGTTGCTATTATTATCAGATAGAGACTTAATGTCAAGAAGAACATACACATAATAGCGAAAAACAGAGAACTGGTGGCAATATTTTTATAGTGTAAAAATATAAATCCGTTGTAGTGTAAAGTAAGATATAAAATTTCAGGTTTTACAGACCCTCGCCGAGCGCGCCAAAGGTTGCGATTTTCATAACGAGTTATTTCAACCAATAATGATAGGAATAATTTCATATCAACTCATTTGTATGCAAATAAATCTATGAGCATTTTTATATGCATTAATATGTACAACAACTAGCAACTAGCATCTAGTTCACTCACTGCGTAATATATAAACGCCGCGTTTCGTGAATCAACGGGACGTTTTGCCGAGCGCGCGATTCTGATATCGCAGCGATTACGAATGATTCAAACGTCTGTCTGCACTTGCTGATACGATTTAATCCTTGGCATTCGATTCGCGCCAACATGTAGGAATGGCAACCCCGTGAAATGCGATCAATACGACCAAGGAAATTCGTTTCGTTACGAGGAAAGTCGGAACTGGAATATCCTAGCCGGCGCCGCTTGAGACAACCCTATCTTCGATTCCCCGTAAAACAAATGTTAATGATCTCCCCACCACTACACATATGTGAGATACCAGCGAACCGGTTTTCCCATATCTGCTGCTTGCTTTCATGCTGGAAGGAACGGTACATATAGGGTGGGATAAAAGCAAGGTATGAAAAGTCCAATAGTCGGCACTTGTTGCGGCGCCTGCCACTTCTCAGCACTCTTGCGCAGGTTTTACTGAATATTAAAATGCGTGCATGGGGATTCATTATTTATTTAATGATTTCTTTTTTAATCCCCATTTCGCCTTATAAAATCTCATCAAATCCAATCCGCAAAAGTACTAAAAACCGAGAATGCCGGCTATTTTATTAAATATTAACCACTTCGTTGGCATTGACGTACTTTTACGTCAAATAAAGGATGTACCAAAAATGAAATTGACGCACTAATGTGCACTTCATTTTATTTTTTTCTCGTTAGCAAGATTTTCATGAAACCCAGGGGTTTTTAGAGTCGCTGATTTCGAATTTGAACATTAAATTTGAAAATTTAAAATGGCGGATTCAATATAGCGGATCAAGATGCGAAAAGTGACTTGATTATGATAAAACCTGGTATTTGAGAGTTTATGGCGTCGCTGCTTTCGAATCTGAAATTAGTTTTGTCAAATTCAAGATGGCGGATCCAATATAGCGGACCAAATGGAAAAATGACTTGATTTGGATGAAACTCGGTACTTGGGGATTTTTAGGGTCACTGATTTCGAAAATTTCGAAATTCAAGATAGCGGATTCAATATGGCGGACCAAAATGCGAAAAGTGACTTGATTTGAATGGAACTTGGTACTTGGAGGTTTTTAGGGTCGCTGATTTCGAATCTGATATTAATTTGAACTTTCAAATTTTGATCTCAAATTTGTATTTAGCGACTCGACAAGTACTTTAGTACTGACTTTTATAAAAATCAAACAGCATTAAGGGTCGTGTCACACAAAAAACTTAAACAGTAAGACATAAGCAGTAAGCAAATTGACCAATCACAGTCGTTGATTCTTGGATCGTAAGAAGAATTTGCTTACTGCTTACGTTTTATAGCTTAAGTTTTTCTGTGCGCTACTAGCCTTAGATCTTGCCATTTTCGGTTGATGCTGATTTTCTTGACGAGCGAAGTGAGGTTAAGATATGTGCATGGAGATTTATTAATTATTTATTTATTAACTTCTGTGTTAAATACGCCTTAATATCCGATCAAATTTAATCTGTAAAAGTGCCAAAAACTAAGAATACCGGTTATTGAGCGTTTTATTATTTTCGTTTCTCTCAATACACTTTCAGCTTTCATTTGAGTATTTTTTTATTTTATTTTCTATTTCCTTTGATGATACATCAGATTCCAATATCTGTTCCAGGGTTTAATGAAATTTTCTCTGCTTGTGCGATATCGATTAATCGCTTCCGGAGATATCGAGTTCGAATCTTTCGACGGAACACACCAGGCTTGGCATCTTCGTTAAGCTCGTCTTCTATCGTTCTCATCCACACCATAAATCTATTCTCAGGTTTCGTCATACTCTCGAAACAGTAATGGCTTTTCATTCGAACATTGGATATCCAAATGCCGAGACGTCTAAATTTATATGGCTGTCGGATTGGCGAAGCCACCATCTCGAAAAGATTGTTAGCCGAGCCGCATTTCTTTCCGAGCCGCCCTGTATATACATTCACAGCAGGTAGGCTACTTTCCTAGTGCCGTCGATGACGGCTCGTTCCGTAGTCTCGCATCGCTGCTCGCGCGAGAACCCGCGTATTCTCGCGCTCGTCCCGCTCTCGCACTTCGTGCGAAGAAGTTGTGAAGCCGCGAGGTATCGGCTTTTATTATCGTTCAGTGAGATAACCGAAAGTCCACGCAATCGTCACCGATAACAGTGCCATATTTGATCTGTACGGGTTTTCCGTATTACGACTCGTGAAACGATCGAGAAAAAAAAATAATACGCGACAACTGACGCTTTCTCCGTCGATCTTTTCGTTCTCTTCTCGAATAAACGCGCAAAACTGTAATATCGTGATATTATAATGCGTGTAAAAATAATTCAGTGATGTTTTGAGGAAAAAATTCCATTGTTTGATATCTTAACATTACATCCGCTCAAGAAATACGCCCCCTTTTACAAACACTCCCAGCCGGATTAAATTGTTGAGTGAAGATTACCAAAATAGAGTTCTTGCGATACGTACAATAGTAGAATATAATTTTATATCAGCAGCACATCACAGGTAACGATGTTTATCTTTTGTTATAAATTATTCATTTTGATTATTTAATAAACCGGTTAAAATGGCACCGGTTAGTCAAGTGTCTGCAATGCCAGCCGATATACTAGCTGCTATTAGATGTCGTTAATCATTATCACAATACAGCGAAACCGCAAACTACGCGTAAATACTCTATGTCGATACTTGCTGATCACTTATTCACACATGATGATATTTCATGCAAACAACAATTACTTTCGAACGCAAATTTGCCTTTACTTGTGCATTTTAGTTATCAACAGAAAGAGATGTTACTAGTGAGACGTTTCTTGTTCAAAATCACAGAGTAGTGATTCGCATTCTTATTATATATAAATCACTAGCGATATCGAACTACACTTTGACAAACATTCGATGTATTCGCAAAATATCTACATACACACAGAAAAATACATACTGCATTCAAAGGTGACTTGTTTCAAGTATTTACAAAGTTTGTATATCCGCAAATCTATCATACGTTCATTTTATAAGCATCAAATTCACTCAAAACACATTCTTAGTTCTAATAGTCGAACCAATTTTTTCTTCAATAAAGTTTTATAATATTCTTCAAAAGAATGAGTTCTTCTCTTGAGTGCATGACAATAAACATTTATTAAATTTATGATAAATATATTTTAAGAGTAATGAGTCCCGGACTATCAAATGTCCAAAATCGAATCACAAGACATATTTAAGGCATATTTAAGACAATACCTTATAAACTTGTCTTAAAGATGTCTTGAAGATGTCTTGAAGACGTCTTATGACCCAATTTTGGACATTGTGCAGTCTGGGAGTATTTTATTGACAAGGAGCCATTCTCCTTAGTCCAGAGCCAAATAAATGAATTTTGGTATCAATCAATAAAGAATGCTTTCATAAGTACTGAGAGTAAAAATTACATCTGTGAATTTATTAGAATTTTAGAAATTTGGTATTTTGTCTATTACTCTATATTATGTTTTAATTACTTTAAAGATTTAGTTACTTTTACGGAACTATTCCAGAAGTACCAAAGTGATAATTAAAATTTATTGCAATTTATTGCAAAATTATGGCAATTCACGTGCAATTCGTCTAGAAAACAGTGATTAAAGCACAGCCATTAATCGCAGTATGCGCATCGGAATTCAGAAATCCGAGTACAACCTGCGAATTGATCAGTAGAGAAGTATTCAAAAGCAAAACAACACTCTACCGATGTGATAAATGACTCAGATCGAAATTTTAATCATTACTTTGACACTTCTAGAATAATGTCATAGTTAGTATGTAAAGGCCTTCAAATATATTTTAATTAGCACATTATCAAGAAAATACTCTTTGCTGAAGATAATCGTAACTCAATAGAAGGAAAATAAACTATATAATCACTTTTTTTAGCAGCAGAATGATATTTTCCTGTGTGCGGGCACACGATACCTTTCGAGGCAGAGGAGGGAGGAGGGAGTAAGAGTCACTTCCCGTTCAAGTTCAATTCAGTCTCATTTTTATTCGTAATTAGACATGCTTTCCTTTGTAACTAACTATATTTTTCATTCGCAGTAATGCCGTAGCGCGTGCGCGTGCATCTCTCTTTGACAACACGGATTAGTTTCCACCATCCGCCATCACATTGCCCCCCGGCTCGCTCGAGGTTTGGTTTGTCGGTTCACACACTAACGGTGGTGGAATTAACGGTTTAGATTAACAAAGTAATTAGATCGATTGTGTATATTATATTATTATCGTTACGGGGCGTCTCTCCAGAGAGGCTTGGCATTCTCGGGGGAGTCATCGTGACCTATTTTTTTCCCTTTCTTCTTCGTCTCACGTTCTTTGTGGTACTTTCGTGAGTAAGCTTCCGCGGTGCGATAACACAGGACCGACGATGATTATACCGACTCGCCGTTAGCAACCTCACTAATTAGTACAAAATGGAACGGCATCTGAGAATGATGTTCGTCGCGTCTCTCGCGGTCCTGACCACGACTGCCGTCGAAGGCGTCATGTCCGAGGAATTACAGGGATCATGGGAAGACAGTGTTACCCTGTCGTCTTTCTATCTGGAGGTAGAGATAATTCTAAGTAATTGCGCTTCCAAACGCGATAAGTATCTTGCGGAACTTTAATTTACCTAACTCGTGTCGGCTTTTTGCTGCATATCACACCCATCTCGTGATTATTTCGTAATGGCTCCTAATCTTCTTGTTACCAAGTTCGTGACAAAGACTAATAATAAACCCAGTGAACAGAGAACATTGCAGAGTAACACATATGGAATGTGGATTTTGCATGTATCTTTCGAACATTTCTGCTATATATTTTAAAAATATCCCAAAGATATTGCTGGACGGTAATATGATTTTGTTGAATATTGCAAAAAGTTCTAGAAATATTGAAATGGCGAAGTCATTTGTAATGATATCGATACAACATTAAAAACTACATATTTTAAAACGTTGTTCACGATTGGGTATTGTTGCAATAACATTTCATCAATAATTTTTTACTCACTGAGAAATAAATTTTCATTAATGAGATTTATAAGTATGATAGAATACATCGGAGAAGCCAAAGAAGCACTTAACTCACGTTGCTGATCGGTCAAAACTTACCAGAAATAATTGCATCCCGGAACTCGAGAGTAGCTCATTCAAAGTTACGTGCTTGCATAATCGCTTATATTGACAGTGACTAAATTATTACGTAACGCAAAAAATTTATTCCCATAAGTTCTCACGTATCTCATATTTGCGGCAAATTTTTCATATTAAGTGACATCAATTCGGAATACATGAGTTACAACGACCAGGGATATTGTGATACCACGAAAATGTCGACACTCATATTGAACCAGGTATCTAATCAAGAGTATTGATATCATTCATGATATCAGAAAAAAAATATCGATATCGATACTGGTATACAAATTTAGAAAAACTTAAAGTTAGGGGAAATATAATAATCAGGAAAGTGTATTGATCTTGCAAGCTATTTTTAAGAATTTTATATGTCTACGAATAATAATAATAATCATGCTATGGTACAAAGATACTTCCACTTTCTATACTAGCCTTTCTATAGTTTGTGATCTAAAAATCTCAAAAAGGATGTGTTAAGACTCCTGTGTCTTTTCTATGATTATTCTTGTTTGATAACATCAAAAGCGTATGGCATAATCGTATGCCAAAAATTATATGCACTATACGTGGAAATAAAATAATATACGCACAGAATGACGCTCTTGATCGACTCCGCACATACGTCCAAAGATATCCGGACGCTCTTTTTTTACTTCAGCAATCAATAAACAACCGCAAAAACGTAACATAAATCATAAGATACGTTTAAAACGTAAGTTGCAAATTACTCTAATTTTTGGCTATTTGTTGAATGTTGAAAAGGAAAATATCTAGACATTTTTATAAATGTACTGAATCGATTATGAATGTCATTTTTTGCGTATCTTGTTTTTGTTCACGTATAGAGGAGACTGAAGTTATATGGCCCCAGAGATATGTTGCTTATATAGCTTTTGAATATTTACCTTGAGAGAAATAGTGGATATAAAATCGAAATGATCTTTTTAAAACATAAATACTTCTCTCTGAGTTTCATTAAGATCGGAATAATATAATAGTTAAGAGATGGAAAAAAAACTGGTTTATAATATGGTAATAGCAAAGTAAATTTTTGAGTCTCTCGAAATTTTATATTAATATAATCGTGACTGAATGAAGTTAAGCGATGTGTTATTAATTAGAATAAAATTTTTTGCAAGTATATCATACTGTTTCTCGTAATAAATGCAATTTTCATTCATAAAATGATTGAAATCGAGCAATCAGGCGGACGAGGTAAAATTAGTCCAGAATTGAAGGCCGGCAGGAAAGCTGTGAAGAATTCTCGCGGAGACTGGAAGTATTAATTAAGATACGTATTTTATAGAATGATGAATCCGATACCAGGTCGAGATGTTTCTGTTGCTAGATGTTCGTACTTTGGTTATTATAAAACAAAATATACGGTGAATAAGGTTGTGATGGTTATTAATATATAGAAGATATAATACAGGTTATACAGGTACCTCTATTATGTTTATACAGTCATTCACCACAATTAATTGTCTGAAAAGTTTCCGTGAAAAAAAATGTTTATATATAAATTTTTTCCATACATGGACATGTATAATTATATACAGAGTGTCCCAGATCATCTTCACTATCTCTCGTGAAGACGTAGAGCAGATTGAGATGAACACAAAAGTCCTCGACCATTTTGCAAATGACAACATAGATTTTGAGATATTAATCAAAGAAAATTGTTACAAAATTGTTTACCATAATGCATAAATTTTCTTTAATTAATATCTGAAAATCTATGTAATCATTTGCAAAATGGTAGAGGACTTTTTTGTTCAGTTTGACCTAATGTGTATGTATACAACGGCAGACGACGCCACTGCATCTCATTTACCATATCGCGCGTGATCATTCACCAAATTTTTAATTAATATCTTGAGATTTATTCCAAATATCGCAAAATGGTATTGGACTTTTGTGTTCATCTCAATTCGCTCTACGTCCTCACGAGAGATTGTGAAGGCGATCTGGGACAACCTGTATAATTATATATACATATATGAATGAAAAGAGTATAACTTTGAAATTTTTAAATAGAGGACATCCAACTTCGGTCTCATTTACTGAAATGATTTTTGGCATACATTTGCTGGAAAAAAAATATACTGGAAAGATATTGAAACGAAGTAGTACTTAATAAGTATAGATACAAGATATAATATCAAGAGAAAATACGAAACAAAAATACCTGATGTTGAAAGAAAGATGTCGATGTATTATATCAGTAGTATCACAACATCCATATAACGACACTTATTATCACTCATCCGTTCAATCGACTCTAACAACTTTGAGTTCTAACGACTTTAAGTCGGTTTCCTCTACCAAATTCAAATCAATCACCGGTTAACACTGTCTGCCTGCACTCCCTCGAATTCCACGACTAGACCAACTCGTTAGTCGATGACGCCAACGACACCGGGAAGGCTCGGCTGTCGCTATGCTGTCGCGTCGGTACGTTCCTCACCGGGAACGACTGCGTGCAAAGCGCGAACGAGACGGAAGCGACGCTGCCGCTGGTCTACGAGGTCGACCTTGCGCCGACGAACATCACCGCGAGCGACGAGCACTTCTCCTTCCTGGTGTGGAACCCGTGTGCCGGAAGCAACCGGTACGGCCTGAATCCGCATCTATACGAGGACGAGCAATGGTATCTCCTGTCGAACGGCTCCGTGTACCGCCCCGAGGCGACAGACGAGGATAGTCTCCTGAACTACGATCAGTACTGCCTGGCGAGAGTACGGAACTACGATTACGCGGAGTATCTGGCTTTCTTCTGCGAAGAAGCGTTTCCGGACGATGAGGACAATGAGATCGTCTACTCGTACGGAATGATCATCTCGGTGCCGTTCCTGGTCGCCACGTTCGTCGTCTACTGGCTGCTACCTGAGATGAGGAACATACATGGCCTGACGCTGCGCGGATACGTTGGCTGCCTGTCGGTGGCGTACGTTATGCTGACGATGGTGCAACTGATGCCGCAGGATTGGCTCTCATACGATGGCTGCATCGCAATCGGTATATCTACAGTGTGCGACTTCTTCTTCTGCCTTCCAATTGTTTATTGCGCTGTTAACGCGAAAAGTTCGTGAGGATTGCTGAAAACGCGACGAGGGATCGTTGCTTAAGTGCAATTAACCACTTATGCGCCGAGCTATTCAATTATCTGAATCGTGATGATTTTTCTTGCCGTTTGTCTGGATCGGATTGTTGCAGAGTTATATAAGTGTATTCATGATCGTATTGTGTATTACGAACAGCGTATTACACACCGACCGCGTCACCGGATGGAACGTGGTTAGAAATCTCGCGGAGATCGCTTCACGCTTAACTCGACAACTTTCTAAACTGCTTCGACAGCATCTCGACTTCTTTTGCATATGATAAGATGTTCAAGATTTCTTATTCTCCCAAATCCGGGACATACTAAACGTGTAGTCCAAGGGAGGGGGGAAATTACTGGAAATTATATATATATTCACAAAGTATCTTAGGCTCTTCTCTGCAACTTTTTTGTGGATATTATTTTTATAATAATCCACAAAAGTTGCGGAGGAGAGTCTGGGACACCTTGTGTGTTTATAAATTAGAAATTCACTAGTTGGTTTAATATATTTTTGATACTACATCAGGAAGTCAAGAAGCTAATCACCTCTAGATTTCTAAACTAGGAGCTGCGTAGAATTCTTTTTTATTTTTAGATACTTTCTTTTATTTCTCAAATGTTTCCTAAAACAGATGTTCTTACTCAACTTCGAAAGCAAATGGTTTTAAATGCATTTGAATAGTGAAAGAGATAAAACTTTATTCAAATAATAAAATAATGATTCCGTGTGTGAAACAAAATTGAATTAATTAAATTTAATTTAATTGAAAAAAACGTGTAAAAAAATTTGTTAACAAAATCATGAGAAATGTTCAATATGATCTTTCTATTCTGATATAGTCTCGTGCAAGACGAACTGAAAACTATTGCATTGACCATAATATCCAGAGATCATTTTTTATTTCTTATTTGAACATTTGTTCAGCATTCAAAGAAATCCGAGACATAGGATGAAAAATCGAAACTAATTCGGGAAAACGAGATATCTGGGCAGCTTACGTATGAGTATCTGAAATTAATATTTCATTTTGCATTAGGATTTGTTTATTCAAATTAACTCAGGAATTCGTTCTTAAAAGATAATGCGGTAGTGGCCGGAAACCCTGTATATATATATGTGTGTATGTGTGTGTGTGTGTGTATGTGTGTGTGTGTGCAACAAATAATGTAATATATATACTAATATATATATATATATATATATATATATATATATATATATATATATA